GTTTCATACATTGAGAAAAACGATTGGTGTGTTAGGAGTTATAAATTATTTTGTGTAACAAAGATCCAGTTGAACATGATACATGAACATGGCACATTATTACTCGTGGTACACGCATGTATCAATACTGCGGGTGATCATTTGCTGTGAGTAACACAGGATTCATTGATACCTATCCATCCCAGATGGGGAAGAGCTAATCTAGAAAAGTTACACGTTGCGCAACCGCCTTTCAAACTCATAGAAAAACCCATTCAATTACAAGTTGGTATAATAATATTTGTGGATATGGTGAATGCAGTGGAATTATCTATCCTTGAGTGGAACCAGTTATCACACATAAAACTCAGCTTGTGTAGTGAATGAGAGGAGGCAATGATAAAAACTACTGCCATCCCACTATCTTAGAAAGGTTAATAACTAAAAAGTTCCTTTAAACCTCACCTCACTGAACTGTGTTTGTTTACTAGTTTCGGTGATCTCGGTGCCGTTTGAGAAGGTTTGTCCTCGGTCAGGTTGGATAGAGTAATTAATCCATTTCGTTCTGAACTACTCAACTGTTTCCAAAACACATCAGATACATTTAATCCCATGTTATCATTGAAGCCTTTTTAAGGATGAATTGTAAAATTCAAAGATAATACGGCTCGTGGCTTTGTTTGGATAACGTTCAATTAAAAGCCACCGGTGAATTCCCTCTATGTGGATTAAAGCATATTGACTGTAGAATGTGCAGATACTAATACTGTTCCAGGTTCAACCATGTGTGTTACCCAAGAGCCAAGGTTGTTGTAGTAATCGGATTAGTCACCAATGGTGAATCATGAATCGCAATCGTAATGTTAGATAAAGCCCTGAATCGTTCTGGCCACTCACTGTGTCAGAATCTCCCGTCATCGAAATGTTGGAAGAAGGCCAGATAAGTAGTGGTTAGTTTATTGAGAGAAATCAGTGGGAGTAAACAATGTTTACTAAGAAGCGTCATTGGTTAGACAAGTGTTTGCTAGTAGCCTGCATGTATTCTCGGCTCCATACAGCTTCTGTCTGCACCACACGGCTTTTGATTGGTCGGCACTATTGGTCCGTGATTCACTGTCCAAAAGCTGTAAAGCGTCTTCCCGTGGCTGGCGTTATCTTGGAAGGCAGGATCACCACAGTTTGTTTGCAAGCGCCTGCTGTTTTTTCTGTCACACAGATTCGTTTGTCCGAAAACGAGTAAAACGTTTCAGGATCACAGCTGATCGTACTGACGGGAATCCGAGAACGCTAATCACCGTATCTTCATTCAAGTACCAATCAAAATGTGTTATGTGCACAGCAGACTAAACCCGACTATCATTCGTTAGTGTCACCGACCTAGTTATTGCTTTTGAACATTTCAGGTTGTCCTGATAACAGAATGAACAAATACGAGGTCAGAGGCACTTGATCTGACACAACCAATTGAGCTGTAAGCAGTCTCATTGTCGCACACGTACAACGTCTACTTTACTGTGCCATTTCAATAGAAGCAGATTTCTCCATCAACATATCACATACTTCTGAGTGAATGGGATAAGGGGGGAATTTATGAGTGGATTCATATCAACCTGTTACTTAAGTGCCTGATTTCACTGAAAAAACTAGTCAATATGTTCACTCCGTATCACTAATTACAGATCAAGGTCAAGCCAGGTTTCTAAGTGGTAACACCCGCATTATTTGCTTTAAACAGTGATGAGATTAATTCACAGGCATCATCGATTTAAATGCATAAAATAATAACAAGACGAAATTCCGTCTTCCAAACACACGTACATAAACACGTATATACATAGTGTACATAGTGTGTCTTATTGAATCCTTCAATAAACTGATACCAGTTAATGAACAATTATGGTAGAAGTCGCTGAATCTATCTTTCGTCGACTATGGCAGAAAAATATCACAAATGTTTCCATTCGGTTCCAGGCGGGCGTTGCTGTGTGTGTGTGTGTGGTTAGTCTCGGTTCCGCTGAATCTTGATGAACACGCAGACCCAGGTGTTCAGATGGTATATCGATAAGTAACAAGAGGTGAACGTTTCACTCTTTACTGAAATTCTAAAAAAAGCACAGCTAACACAGCAGCATAGTAAAGCACAATTGAGTTCCGGTGACCATGCTCCGTAGCTCGTTGGTGGCAGTGGTGGCGCAGTGGTTTAGTCGCTGTCAACGGTGTGCTTTGGATCCTATGGTACGAGGCTCGAGCCCCGCCACCAGCACCCACCTTTGGTGGTAGACAGCTTTGCTGTCGTCCCGTTCAATACTACACCTAAACTAGCAGGGCGTTATGTAGTTCGTCACTCCAGTTCCCAGGGCTTAAGTTAGCGGTTACCATGGCAGAGCAGCAGGTCCTCGTGACTATGGGGTTCGCGCCGTCTGCTATTCACCACACAAATGTGTGTGTAGAAAAAAATATAATAAAAACTACAGTCGAAAAGTAAACAGATAAATGAACAGCTATCACTGACGTCCATGAGCTTTTGGTGTCAAAATTATTTGTCCGCTTCATATTTGCCAGAATCGGATTCAAGGAATTTTCCATGCCTACGCCATCCAATTAGAGAAAATATCGATTTTGAAAGTAAAACAAAAGTGATCTGTACACAACATGGTTAACGTTGTTAGTTCTAATTGCGGGGCGGAGGCTGTTGGAAGCATCAGGTTCTTGTGTTTTACGAAATCGCATACAGAACAGTTTGATCACAGAAGGACGTGAGTAGAACAGCAATGTCACGTGCATGCTAACATGATAGTTATGCTTCACACTGATCGGTTTTAGCAGTTCGGTCAACTGTAGGCTCTTTCAAACAAGGAAGTTACAATTCGTCTGTAATTGATTTTAGTTTTCTTACTAGCCCTATTACAAATTGATGTTTTTGTGGATACGTGTCACTTGGCGTGTCCGCACAACAGTGGTTTCTGCGATCCTTGTTGTTTTGGACGGACAACGCATTCAGAAATACCCCTTCCAATAATATCTGCACCTCTTGCAAAGCAGTTTTTTATCTGTGGTGCTTACACTCTCTCACTTTCAGTACTCTTAACGTTTTCACATGTTCATTTGGCATTTTAAAAATTTGTTCACGTCCATCAATCAGTACCACGTCTGATCCTTTTTTCTGTGAATGCTGGGTAAACCACCTGGTCAGATTTGTGCTGTAAAATAGGCAGGTCAATAAACTGATGAACGGATGGCACATGGAAGATCAAGGTTTCCCGAAGTGCCCGCCTCATTTCAACACAGATTAGACAAAACNTTAACAGAGGCTATCAAACAGGGAGAAAGTGCGTGATGTAAGCGTGAGGATTGGTGCTCTGCCTAAGCGGAACATTGTGTGATTTTACCAAGAACAGTACTTTAATTGTAGCCTGTTATTTTTCTTTACATTTGGTATTTGGCTGATGAAGTTCAGTGAACGATTTCCAAAATAAATAAATTGTACAACACTGTGCTGCAGTGTTTTACAACAACGATCCTATCGGGAAAACAAGTTGGCATACGCACAGGGACATTGGACTGATCAACAATAGTGAACGAACGTGCACCAGAAAACAAAGCCTAGCAAATGGCAAAAATCAAAGGTCACCTCTAAAACTGGCCGATTGAATACGTCAACACCTCTTGAGTGAGTGAGTGGATAGGACTAAATATTGACGCCTAGAGACATTCGTGTACTTTCGGTACTTCAATTTAGTCACTCGATGATTGATCAAGAGATTAGGGTAGTGAACGGATTAGTGACACTGACATACATTGCACACCACAAGTAAATGTGACACTGCTCGTGTAAGAGTAAAGCATTTGTTCACTCACAAAGATCTGTGAGAATAGAAATTATGAACGAATCAATCCTGGCGGAAGTCAAAATGCTTCCCTGAATGAAACAGAGGTGAGGGTCATGCATTGTCTAATAGAACAGACTGGCGCCCGACAGAAACAAGTTGCAGTCGATGGGTTTTTCAAATACATCGCCAACTATCTATTCTAAATTGACGATCTGAATCTTTTCACGTGGCCCGAAGGGTTTCGTATTATGGAAATACGTTGCTACAGTGTTCTTCACAATGTAAACTTCTTCCAGTTAACGCCAGCAATGAACGAGTACTGTGAACTCTAGAACGTTTGAGTGCTTTCAATCACCAAAATAACTAGGGCACTTTGGTTACACATCGGTAGGTTCAATGTTTGTAGGATTTCTGCCAGTACCGCCGCCAAACGTTAGAGCATTTATCTTCGTCATTTGGTGCCAAATCCTTCCTGATGTAATGTACAGTTTCGTGTCTCGCGCTTACACTATGTTTCTTCTGCCTTGATGTATGAGGCGAGACCACTTTCAAATTTTTCTGGATTGCATTGATGCTGCAATATCGCTGGTAGAAAATTAATTGAAAATGCTTTACAATCTGACAAACGTGGCAATCTGATACTAATAGATGGAGCATCTGTGCTTATGTGCTGCCGGCCTACTCACATTACATTGGAGAACAGCGCTAACTCGGCACAAAACAGTTCTACAAACTGCGTATGGAAAATCTCGTAGCAGATTATATGTCTACAGTCCCGCTTGAAGGAGAAAGAAACTTATGGGCGGCTTCAAATCATTCAGGTTTACCCGGGTATATCTCCTACTTGGCGACGTGCACAGCATATTTGAGCTGTTCATTTGCGACCCCCTCCCTACTTGATAAATGATCGCTACGTGTCGGCTGAACGGTCATTCAACGAGGTAGAGAACCAATCACTTGATCGAATCATTTCGATCAAAACAATAACGAATCCTACTGGGAATAGCCTTTTCGTTACCGATTTCGGTGTATCCGGACGCTATTGATTGACACTGAGAAAAGAATGAACATAAAATGTGAAAAGATGCTTTATTTCTGCAATGACTGCACTTCTGACAGATTGAGCATGACACGATCCGCACGTAGTGCAGATATGAATGAACTTTGGGTTCGTTTACACAAATAGTCCGATCACTGATTTCCCGTCGTGGGATTCTGCTCATCGTGTTCGTCGTCCTCCTCCTCTGGCGGTGCACTGTGATCACCTTGTCCGTCATATTCATCACCATGTTCCTCGCCTCCTGCTCCTCCTTCGCCTCCGTGTTGTCCACCTTGTTCATTCTGCCCGTTGTCTCCAGTCTGGCTGCCTTGTTGTTCATGTTGCCCTACTCGATTTGATGTTTCCCGCGGGTATCGTTGTGTGGTAGCGCGAGTGCATTGAATGGAATGAAATAATAGCAAATATGGATGATGAGGTAGAAATAGAAGCAGTTAATGGCAAAACGCATCTGTTTATATGTGCTGTTCACAAGTAATATTCTTGAGCGATGTGAACGAGTGTTTTACTAATTCACAGAAGACCAACTGTCTGTTGCTTTGGTTGACGGAATAAATGACTCCTAAATAAACGGTAAAGCCAGGGATGCAGTATGTAATGAATGCCACAACGATATGGTAGCCAAACCATCTCATTTTGGGGGTTTTCAATTTTCACAATTTCTATAAGCTAACGTCTCTTTGTTCAATGGGTAAATAAGTCCACACTCATTGAGCAGAGCAGGCGGGGTGATATTGCCAATGTCACTCACTTTGTTGTCCACCTCCTTGTTCGTGCGACGATTGTTGTGACTGTTGACCAGCGTTTTGTCCCTTCTGTTCACCTTGTGGACGCCGTCCTTGTGCTTCACAATAACCTGATGGGGAACAAAGAACAAGCAGTGCTGAGTCAGTTCATACATGTTTGTACAATAAAGAGATAGAAAACAAGTGGGTGAGTGTTATCGGACTGTTCGGACAATCAACTCGTACAAACAATGAGGTGGACCTGAATTTACTCAACCACTCGAGCAGCAGTGGATTGCGTGTGAGCGTGGTTCGAAAGCATACGCAAACCTACGTAAAGTATGTTGTTGTGAATCTAATCCCACGTCGGTACATTTGCATCATCATAATATCGGCATATATCATGCTCGTGGACCTTCGCACTGCTTCTTATCATGGTTTTCGTAATCCGAGACTGGATTGTTTTCAGACGAAGCCGGCGTACTAGACTGCAATACAAAATCCTATGCTAAGAGTAAGGTATGGCAAGAACTTGATACTATCCCAGATAAAACCAAATGGATCATGTGCGAAAATTCACAGGGACACCTGAGTGCTCAGAGCACTCGACCACTCACCAAATTCTTCGATCAAGACCAGCATTAGAATGAGGATGGCCACCATGTATTTGAATGCATTTGTCCCACTCATTGTCGCGACTATGTGCTCGGATTGGCTAGATGCCCACGTGCTGGATGGCTTGTTGTGTGTGGTTCGAACGCGACTGCAGCATGAATTTGTTTGAGACCTGGGACTATTTATACCCACTAGATTCGAGTGGACAATCATACAGGTGGTCAAAGCATGGATGAGCCTAGGCTGAATCACAATGCTCCATGTTAACTTGTGTGGTCTTCGTCATTTCGACTGAACTGATGACCCACATTTAACTTCATGTGCGCCCCACTACAGAGGATATGCCGCTGTAAGTTTAATGGACTCAAACATCAGCACTCGCAGTGATAAATAGTTATTGCGAGCCTTGAAGTTTTTCTTGGTCTACACTCACGCAAGACTGGTTTTTCAACGATCATATGTCATGATCCGGTCTGTAATCTGTTTTCGAGACAGTTGTCAAATGCTCGGGTCTCTGAGAATTGATGATGTCGCTGGATTTCACTTACAGGTAAATATGTGATTTACTTGTGTTTGAGTTTGACCTTCTGCTCTGAAGTAAGTACACGAGGACTCGTGAGCCATTTTTAGGAGCTGACGAATTTCCGGTTTGAGCTGTATGTAAGTATATCGAAGGTGATGGTGAAGTTGTATTCAATTCTATATAATGCATTATATATTTAGGTTATACAAGGTGTGCGCTCGTGATTTTCGAGGATCGCTGAATTGCATCACGCCTGACAAGCAGTTGCTGATAAAATTCAAACAGTAGGTTTGAGGTCTCGATGGGAATGGGACAGAAAGAAAATGGCATTCATGGTCAAAACACATCTCTGTCACGAAGGTTAAATGCCATTAAAGTCAGGTCAAAAAATTCATACTTTCTGCGAAAATAGCCAAAAGAAAAGGGCCGCAGCTGGGAGAACCTCCGGTCCGAAAAGATCAACCACTGTAGTCAACCAGACGGTCCGACGACTCTGATTAGTCAATTGTAACGAACGCTCAGAACTCACCGCTGGCAATAAATAGAACCAATGGTAACCCGCTAATGATAAAAGGGGTACACGCTATTTTCTAATATGCTATCCGGTGCCATTTTGATTGTGCTCTTTTCTTTGACTCGAAACTTGGTGGTGCGATAGCGATCTCAGCAGACGCAAGTGCACAACAATCTCCGCTCAATTTATGCCACGGAACTGTTGATTTTGATCGATACCGAAAATGAGGCTCGTAATGATATAACAAAAGTTATGTCTGTGGTATCAGAATGAAACAACGGAAATCCATGCTCGGTGTTGGTTGATGCAGTGAATACTTGAGCTAACTGACGTTTTGAACAGTTTAGCTGCTCACTCTGTCGTGACTGAGACACGTCCTGCCAATCCTAGCGTTCGAACACCAGACTTGACCATTCCGCAAACATTTGTGTCTTTACAACGGCTTGGGGTTGGATATAAACTTACGCATCAGCATACATCAACCAATCTTCCCACAATAAAATGATTCAGTGTTTTTGTATTAAACAGAAGGCATATCATGTGCTGTTACGAGGAAATCGTTAATAAGCTTCCGGTGAGATATTATTCTCCGAAACCCTCTTCTTTGTTCGACTGCGAATCACTGATTCTTGTGAACCAGTTCATTACGTAATGTGTTTGATTTCGGTCACACACTTGACCA